CGAGTATTGAGAGCCTGTTTCATACTAAACAAGCACTCCACCACTGGGCTGACCTGCCCCCCTGCCCCAGTACACATTACTTGAATAAATACTTGAATGAAGGTAGATTTGGGTTTTAAAAATGGCAGTTGTTTTAGATAAGGTTTTCTAAGCAGGTTATCTGTTGAAATTGTACATACAGGCCATGTATGTACACAGGTAATATTTTGACCGTCTCCAGATTCAATCCTTTTTGCCATTCTTGGCGCATAGTAGCATGAATAGACATAGCTTTTTAGAGGGTCTATTACTGGAGCAGGACCCTCACTTTATGGGTGGCATTCTTGTTCATCCTTGACCTGAGCTCTTTGGTTCCCATCTGCCAGCATCACCCATGACTTTCTGACTGTTAAGCTCTGAACAGAGAACAGAGCCATGCCGTTCTGTTCATGGAACCAGAGCTCTGAACACAGCACATCTCTTTCTGCTTTCTTTAAGTCACTGTCCCCACTAACACCCAAATGTGTGCCTTTTACAACTCCTAGCATAAAAAAAATCCATCCTGCTCCCTCCTTCAGTGCATAAAGAAAGATAGATACTGCCTTCCGTTTCCACCAGGATGCTCACTTTTATTTTGAATATTTATGGATGCTAGAAAATACATACTATTTCTGTAGTCAATGGAATACTAAACCATGCGACTGCACTGACTCCCCATCTGTACTGACCAGTGAGTATAAAGACCCAGGGGATAACTGTTACATCAAAAAGCATTTATCGTTTTCCAATCAGTAATGTAGTTTGGTTGCTGCAGATCCTAACCAGAGGTTCTCCCAGCTCATCCTTGAACAGAACCTATGAGCCCACACTAAGGGAGCAGGAGCAGGCCATGCATATTTACCATGCCTCTTTTCCATGGGCATCCTGGGCAGAGGATTCCTAGGTAGGATTCCATCAGTTCACCCACATCCCCCTTTTATCTCTAAGACAACCAAAGCTGCAAGTTGGAGCAGCGTATCTCTGTCACCCATCTTGTGAGGAAAAGGGCCAGAAGCAAAACCTAAGCCTTTCACCAAAAGCCAGCACCTTCCTTCACATTGCTTCTGTTCTAAAATATCAAATAATAAAAGTTGGAAACATAGGGTTGGATTCCCAGCAGAGTCTGCGAGGTGTATTGATTATAACTGCTGAAGACATCTCAGTGGAGTATTAATAACTTGTGAGATTTGTGTGTGAAATAGTAGGAGAAGCTTGCAAAGGATACTCAAATACAGCCAGGCATAGCAGCTGTAGTCCCAGCCGTTGGCAAATAGGGGCAGGAGGATGGCTAATTCCAGGCCAAGAGAGGCTACATTGTAAGACCTCACTGGAAGAGAGGAGAGAGAGAAGGAATGCAAATGCAAGATGGGTTTCTGCTTACAATTTGAAAGTTCTTTGAGTTGAGTAATCAAGGAGAAAAGTGCTCCTTTGAAAGTATTTTTCTCATATTAGCGATGTAATCGTTCAGAACAGAATTAAAGTTTTGTGTTTGGGTGCTTTTAGAAGAGCAAAGAGCAATGCCTAGTATTAAAATGGGTGTCGGGTTTATGGCTCAGAGCCTCATCAGCCACATGCATATGCCTGAGGATGGTCTTGCAGTCATTTTGATGTCTATTGTTATTATTGTTATGGTTTTTTTAAGCTCTGAGGATAATAAGTGTCAGACAACACTGCTCCAATTCACCCTTGCAGAGTTCCAGTGCATCCAGTACTGGATCTGATCTTCAGGGTAAAGTGTTTATTGTGTAAACATGAGGACCTGAGTTCAGATCCCAGTGCCCACCTAAAAGCTGGACACAGCAGCATGGGTCTGAAATCGCAGTGTTTGATGGGGCACAGAGACAAACAGATCTGAGGGCTCACTGGCCAGCCAATTTAGTCAAAGTAGCAAGTTTTAGGTCTCAGAAACTAATGTTAAGAGCAATTAAGATGTTTGACAAGACCTCTGCTGTCCACATATAGGATCATGTACTCTCATGCATGCGTGTACCATCACATAATCATATACACATCACAGGTATGCATATATACACCATACACAAATAAATAAACCAGGGTGTTTTTGCGAAGACTACTAAACAAATGGTTTGGGGCATTCATGTGTTTTTAGCTGTTCGAAGTGCTGTCCAAGCTGGGGTCATATTTGCTTTCTCTTTGTCATGGTGTTTAACATGCTCTGGCTTGGACCCAAGTGAGTTGCATTTGATGTCTCTTAGTCTTACCCAACCCCCATAGATGTTTGTCTAAATGACAACACCCAGTTTAAAGCCAGTTAACACTGCTGAGAGGGATGGAGAGTGTGTGTGACAGTGACAGTCTAGGGCCTGAATGGCAAGATTGGGAACCTTCTGTGAAGCATCATTTCCTCCTTCTGTATTCAGTTCTGAAGCCCTTTTGGTTCTCTCTATTGTCTGTAGCTCTGTGGTACAAGAGTCAGACCATAATCCTTCACAGAGTGGGAGAATCTCAAAACGTGATGCCTGCCCCCTGCGAGTGCATTGCTAGGCCTCCTCCTAAGAGCCCAGATCTCTCAGTCATGACAGGGACCAGCCTCTTGACAGCTGGATGGTGTCATCTAGGATGCAGATGATGGGCAGCCACCTGGGATCTGTGTTCAGCAGTCCTGTAGCTTTGATTGTGAGTTTGATTAACAAGGTTACTTTCCAGAGAAGTCTTCCGTGGAGAATCTAGCAAAGGGAACACACATTTCTGTGTTGTTCACCGTTGTTCCCAGCTCTGTATGGGGATGTGTTGGACACAGTGGGACCTTTCAGGAAACAGAGGATGATACTTAGGCAGAGTGTGACAGGTCTTTAGAGGGACATGTCTGCTCTAAGCCAGGCCCACAAGCAGCCTGTACTGAAAGGGGGGAGCCGTGAATTGAGCATTGACAGTGGGCCACAGCAGTCTGAAGGCTCAGGTGGTTGTCAGCCATAAGTTTAGCTCAGCTCTTTGAGTAATTTGTCACGCCTGGCTCAGCCCCTGCTGGGCCAGCACGTGCCAGCTTAGTGTGAGAGGGCCTGTTCGCCAGACGGCCACTCAGGCCTAACGTCCTGCTGTTCCCCGGACCAGTGGCTCGCTGGGGCCATACACGGAGGGCCGCTCTGCGGTGACAGCCAAGTGCTGTGCAGAATGAGCATGCTCATAATGAGACGTGAATGGCATTAGTGGATCCCTCTAGAATTGGGCCTGAGCAGGCGCCTCTCACTGAGGAAGTTTGGCAGCCTGTTCATTAAGGCAAGTCACCAGGAGTTCAACCCACGGCCCAGGAGCCAGCTCTGGAGCATGCTGCCCAGGCCTGAGGCTGTTGTGACCATCCATAGAAAAAAAATCATAAATCTTCAGAAGGGCCACTTCAAGCTTCCAATAGATTTTCTTTATTTTTTTTTAAAAAAGAGTTGTGTGGAGCAAGCTTAAAGGGAACTTCTAGCACGAAGCAGATCCTGATATTACTTTCTACCGTTGTACACACGTCCTGTGTCTGCTTAGTAACCCCCCAGCTCTTGTGACTATTGGATGCTTGAAATATATGGAGTGGGGCAGAGAAGTGCAGTTGTTCCTTTTGCATTTCAGTCAATGAACATTTCAATTTTGATAGTCACACGTGGCTACCAGGTAATTCAGCACTGTTCCAGAATGACTCTTGTCCCCTCCCAGTGTGACACCATTCCCCGAAGATATAAAGGAATGGGGAGAGCGAGCCGACATCCAGAAATCAGCACCAAGGCCTTGCCAAAAGAAAATAGAAGAGTGTCCCTAGTTTAAAAACAAGATGTGTAATTGTTCCCAGCTTAAATTTTCCAAGTGAACAACTTAAAAAGATTGTTTTAAGATACATGGATTGTTACTAGTATATACAGAATCATGTTTTTTTCTTAGCAGCCCCAGATAACAAACCAATAGGAATCTGCCTTCCCTGGGTTTTGTGGTCATGAAGAAATGGCACAATTTTCAAAATACTCAAAACACATCCTTTAACTTTTGCATCAATAATGAGGAAGGGGGAAATGAGACATCATGCCAGCTTCCCCGAGTGTTAATTCCTAAAGTTACATGTGCAGCGCCTCCATTCATTGTCAGATCATTCTGACGTTTCCTGTTATTGGGAGTGCATGATTCACCTTCAGAGGAAACAGAAGCTCACACAAAGGGGAAGATTTGCTTTCTGCCCTGTGAAAGGCTGCCACACGCAGGGGTCCTATTAAGACAGCTGGAAAGTTGCTTCAGCGTGTTACGCTTGTAAGTTTTATTGGTGACTGGTTTTTGATTACACATTTGAATGTTGTATGTTCCAGGCTGCAGCTTTAATTAGAAGGCAATGGTTTCTCTCTCTTTTCCTTTCTTTCTTCCTTTCTTTCTTTCTTTCTTTTTTTTTTTTTTTTTTGCAATTGTATTGTACAGCATTTGCTACACCCTCCACATCCATTCTTATTTTCTAATACTCATTCCTTACCCTGGCCAGAGGCTATGATGCCCTTGCAGAATATGGTTCCAGCCTTCTCTTTCTAATAACGTTCGTTTTCTTACTTTTGTTGAAAGATGTAGCCAGCTCTTACAATATCAGTTCCCTGTGTTGTTAGGCTGAGAGTTCTCACTGGCCCAGTTGGAGAGTGAAGACGAAGGCTGCCACATCATGCCACCGCAACGTTGTCACAGTCACCCACCTCTCTTGTTCTTGTTTAAGTCAGCCTTAGAGATAATGTAGTGCTTTGAAATAATCCTGTAACTTTTGGTGCACGTATTTTTTAATGATATTACTGTTGGATATAGTTGAAGCCCAAAAGAAATCTAGGCCCTAAAACTAGCATCTCACTATTATGTGTGATAAATATCTAACACTCTGGCAGAAAGCTAAAGAGTTTCCAAGATAGGTTTTCACACAAAATGGGGAAGGCCTAGTAACTAACTGCATTTAGAACAAATTGCCCGTCACTCCGCATGCCATTTGCACGTGCGTTTGTCTCCTTAACCAATCACTGCAGCTACGAAGAGCGAGCTCTGTATCTGGAAGCGATAATTCAGAACCACCGGGAAGTCATGACATTTGAGGATTTCGCAGCTCAAGTCTTTTCTCCCTCTCCCAGCTACTCTCTCAGTGGAACGGGTGAGTGTCTACTTTATTCTCCTCCCTCCCGCTTAAGATGCATTTGAGTAGCAGATGTACACCTGTTTTTCACAGATAAATGCTTGCAAATTTAAGAAGAACATTCACCCTCTGAATCAACTAATGAATTTCAAAAGGAATGATGACATTCATTTTAATTTGTTTTGTATCCGAGCTGTTCGCTGTGTCCCTTTCTTCAGCTATCCTGTTAACCCTCGAATCTAGCAAGGTTAATGAACTTTTTCTCAATAATGTGCTCCAGTTCATTCAGGAGTGTGGGTTTCTTGCTGAGCTGGGAATATGTTGTTTAAAAGCGATGCCCAAATCACTGCGTACTTATCAAAAAAAGAGTTCTCACAGTTGAAGCCGTTGCTACTAATGCTAAATGGGGATTATGCCGCTGAGATACGAGGGTCAGGGATTAATGCCGGAGACATGGAAGGACAGTGTCCCCAGGCCCATCATTACAGAGTGCCGCGTGCACGCTGCTCTCTGGAGTGGTTGGTGTCATGCGGACAAGCCACCGACCAGAGCAGCACCTGGTGTGGAGCCTTTAGAAAGTAGCTTATAATGGTTTTCATTTAGTAGGCCAGTGGAACTGCAGAATTTTTCATGGATTTCCTCATTTTTAGACACACACTATCTTTATATAATATTGTCAGTTTGAAAAAATACGTACTGCCACTTAAATTATTGGCATGATTATTAAATTGTTGGTATTTTGATATGGGATTTTTTTGTCAAAGAATAAAATTATTACTTGTGCATTTTTGCATGTTGTTACAGATGAATTGCCTGTCAGAGAGTAGGTGGCTATTTAGTCTCCACATGTTGAAATTCTCAACAAGGGCTTCTTTCACCCTCCCTGGTTCAGCATAGCTGTAAGGATGCTTAATAGATTTCTAGCCCGTGCTAATTGCTTCTGAGCACAGCCTTGCTTCTCCTGTGCTGACTTGTTAACAAATATCTTACACACAAAGTGAAAAAAATCAAATTCAGTGAAATAAATCACTTACAAATAAAATCAGCCATGCGTCATTGTTTAACATCGCTGGCTTCAGTCCGTGCCTCTTGGAGCTTTGTTGGGAGATAAGAGAGAGAGGCAGGCACTTGCATGGGGAGCCAGGAGCAGCAGGCAGAAGGCTTGGGAGATAAGCAAGCTGGCCGAGGTGCGGAGCCCCATTTACATAATCACGCCTCTGCTTCCTGGTGAGGCGAGAGAAACACAGGGATGGCCTCTATTGATCTTTGTTGAACTGGGATACTGAGCAACATGAGAAAGGCTTATAACTTAAAGCTTTGATTAATGTTTCCTGCATTAAAAAAGTAGAACAGCTGTGAGTTGAATTCTTTTATACACTCTGCCAGCATTCTGTCTAAGACAAAAAAAAAAAATCTGTTTCGAGGGAAATGAAGATTTCGTACCCAGTCTGCTAGAGGTTTAAAGTTGTGTGATTTTTCATGAAAGAACACAAGGAAGCTGATGCTGACTGCAGTGCTCCATTCACGCCCTTCTCATCCTCTGCAGGCCCTGGGACCGGTTTCCCAGTGCAGGCTTTTGTTTTTGTTTTCAACTTTAAAGAAAAAAATCTGATTTCTTAAGAATAAAAGAAAAATATGAAATAATAGCTAAATATTTAAATTTCTTAACTTTTATTTTTAAGGTTGATGATGATCGATGTTGTTGAGACAATGACAGGTGTTATTTTCTATGTATATTTTACTCTCCGTATAAATAAAGTTCACCATTATTCAAACCAGTTCAGATTCAGTTCCTAGTAACAGCTTAAGTGAGACTATAGGAGCATTTGTGGGAGGGTGGTTAATGGGTTTCTTGGAGAATGTCTTTAAAAAAAATACTTAACAAAATTTCTGACAACTCGTCAGGGCAGGTATTAGAACTTTTATACATGGGGCAGGAAACCTAATATGGACACCAGAATAAACGTGGTTCGTCCTTCTTTCAGATCAGTCAACATCAGCCTCACATTTCCTGGAGTTCACAGCTTCTGTCTGCCCTGCACAGAACTAAAAATAGTCTATCTGAACCTCAGTGTGGGGGCAGTACAGTGAGGATGGGGTTCATCAGCCCAATACACAGGTCCCACCTCAGAGCTGTAACTTCCTGGCTTATATGCAGACTTCACTTCTGCAGAATTCCCACCCCTGCCTCTGCTTTCCCAGAGAGGAACACTTTCCACTGATTCACAGTGACTTTCATTTCTGGGTACAAGCACAGTAAAGCCACATGAGCGCAGCCCTGCCAACTTACACTCAGAAACTGAGGTGAAGCCTGCTCTTTCAAGCAACAAACCAACTGGAAAAATTGACCCTGAACTGCTTAAGCTCCCACAGTGCACACAGGGCCTAGCCAGATCCTCTATGGTCATCAATGTCATCAAAGCAGGGCCTTGGGCTCCTTGTATACATACACACAGATTTTCCTAGGCTTTGTTTGTATCCTCCAGCAAGGGACTTTAGCTTTCAGGAAACCACCTGAACTGTACAGTGCAGCACATCCAGAAGGCAGCACACCTCTAAAGAGAGGAAAATGTGCCAGGTAAGCATGGCCAGAGACACTACTGATGGGAAATGTCTGTGCCTCCCACACTCGCTAGCCATGGAACCCTAGGGGCCAGAGCACCCAAATGTGTACACGTCTGTCCATGATGCACTGTGAGCTCTGAATAGGGGCACAGGTCTAATATATGAGTTCAACTTCTGACAAGGACTTTTCAAAGAGGATTCATCTCCCAATTAGAAATGCAATTTTAAAGGAGCCCCTTGTATCTGTTGCATCTATTGCTTGCACTAATAATATTCTGTATGAATGGTATTTGGATGCCTTTTTTTTTTTTTTACCTAACCTGGCCTGTGGTTTGCCTTTTGGTTCCTTCCCTTACTGACAAACAGTAAATAATCTAAAAGATAGCCAATATTAACATCTATATGTTTTATGCATGCATATTTATATTCTTTTAACCCACACAGCTGTGGTAATAGAGGACTAAGTTTGTGTTTTCATGTTCTCAAAGAAGGGGACCAGCAGAGAGGCCTGTAAAGGGTTAACAGGAATGGGCACCCTCGAGTGCTGGGGAGGGACTGATGTAATCACTGCAGCTCACAGCCAAGTGCATCTGTTCACCATGAGGTCATTCTTCTGCATGCTAATGACTTGGAGAATCCAGTCTGATGTTTGACATTATCCAAAGGGATGTAGTGTAAATCTTTACCTTTGGGAGCTGCTCTTACTGAACAAAAAGGGGGAAAGAAACTTGTTTGGACTTGCATAGGGGTTTCCTTGTTAGTGTGTTGTTGTTATTGTTTGCATGTTTGTTTTTTGTTGTTTTTTGGGGTGTTTTGTTTTGGGTTTTTGTTTGTCTTGTTTTGTTTCCTGGACCTACTCTAAAGATTGTGTCTGGACCTTAAAATCTTGGAGGAATCCACTTATGTCTGTTGATAAATGAATCCAAAAATGACTATTGTGGTCACAGCTAGCAATTTGTCAATTGACATACAGTAGGTATTACTCTTGTAATATCCAACTTTCAGAATTGGTGCCTTGGTCAGAAGTTGGTAAGAGTATGTTTTTATCTTGAGAAATGTCTAAAACCAAGTTCAAGGAGATTTGTTCTCAGTATCTCTGGATTGACTAGTGTTTGTTTGAGATGCCAACACTGTTTGTGGCTCCTGCCCACTTCAATATTGCTGTGGAGGGCCAGCAGAGGGAGCACAGGTCTTTGTTTATTTGTTAGCCTCAAAAACACAGCCCTTGATTACTCCAGGACCCAGCTAGCAGTACTTTCTCCTTCATGACAGGTAGGTTGTAAAGGCTCCAGGATAAAAAGCAAGTGAGAGAAATGTGTCACCCTGATTTTGATCCACTATTTGTTGCTTGAATGTAGGTCATATTTGGGGCTTAAACCAGATTAGTCTGGGCCAGTCTTAAGATGCTGTCACCATCCAAAGCTGCAAACTTTCCTCTTTCTCAGATGTGTGCCTAGATGGCCCCTTGGAAAGGAGTATTGTGTTCATCTGTTTTATATAATAGACTTTTGTCTTTCTTTTCTGCTGTTCATTACAACTTTAGACATTATACTTATAGACGCTTACCTGGTGCTATCAGGGCCACTTGATGGCAGCTAATGAAATAAATCCACAAAGCTGCAGACAGCACATTCTGTCGCACCCCAGCCCCAAAGGGAACCTGGCATGTAGATGCTGTGCTAGTTCTGTAGGTCACTGGTTGTGCCCTAAGGGGGTGAAGCTCCACCAGCTTCCATGCATGTGTGTTCATTATACCAGCATCTTGCAGGCTTATCATTCTACATACAGATACTGGAAGGAATATTCTACTGGGCAGTTAATAAGTTAGCCTCCAGAAGCAGGTAAACCCCAATCTTGATCTGCCAACCCTTTAATGTTGATTGAAAGGGTAATCCCCCTGTATATTCATTCAGTCAGTATTCATTATTTTTCTCCTTCTCCTTTCCTCTATCCCTGTTAAAATGGTCTTAGTAAGGCTTAGATTGATAGCACAGTTTATACTTCTTAGATATTTAATTTTATCATAGCCTAGGGAAACCTAGCTAGCCTATAGGGAAACCTATCATAGCCTAGGAAAGAACATCATAAAATGTGGAGGTAGAGAAATCTTCAGAAATATCAGGTGTAGCCTCTCCTTAATAGTTTTGACTAAGCTGAAGCACAAATCATGAATGAACAACCAAAGATTGCATACAAGTTGGAAAACATAACCCTTACCTCTCATTTCACACATAAGCATGCCATCCCAGTGTCTACCTTGTGCTGATGGTTCCATAAATCAAGCAGTAGCGGTTTGCTGTTGAAATTAAAACCCAGAATTAAATTTGAGAATTACATATAGAGAACCAGAAATTTTCCTTAAACATACATTCTCTTATGTCATGTCTACTCAAGAGCTCACAACCAACCCAAGTTATACCCTCATCGCAGTTGGCTGTCCCTGGTCAAAATGT